GCTCACACACTAGTGGTGGATAGATGGGAGCAGCTCACCAGTGTTCAGCCCGGCTTCCTCAAGGGTGCAGGTCAGTGGGTGATGGTTGCCAAGGCTTCAGATGCTGCCTGAGACCCAACCTGGTTCCTATGCTAGTGGGAGAGGGGTGAGGGCACAGTCACCAAGGTTGCTGAAGCTGTCTGAGGTTCAACTTGGCTCCCCTGAGGAGACAGGGGGTGGTGGGGAGTGGCCGGCCCCTGAAGCTGTCTGGGGCTCATCCTGTCTCCCATGCTTGTGGGCATGTGCAGGGGCAGCTCACCAGCATTCCCAAAGCCATGCTGGGTGTCTTTCCACTCTGCTGTTTAGCATGGTTCTCTTTTCACTTTGATTTATTTATATCTTAGTTTTCTCACATAAGAGAAACTGTATGGTATTTAAGTTTGTGTGTCTGATTTACTTAATATTATGGTTTTGAGGTGCATCCATTCTTCTATAAGTGATTCAAGTTGATCATTCTTTAGAGGAAAGTAGTACTCCATTGTGTATAACTACATTTTCTTTATCCACTCAGATGAATATATAGGCTGCTTCCAAGATTTAGCTATTATGAATTATGCAGCTATAAACATGAGTATGCACATTATCAGTGTAAAATGATAAATAATGTCTTTAACTGTTTCATGAAGATACCTAGGGGGGGAATAGATGGGTTGAATGGAATTTCTATTTCAGTTTTTTGAGGAATCTTCATACTGATTTCCATAGTGATGGTATTAGTTTACATCTTACCAATGTAGAAGGGTTTCTTTTTTACTACAGCCTCACAAGCATTTGTTATTATTTAATTTCTTTATGAATGCCATTTCTTGAAGATGAAATGTCAGTGTTGTTTTAATTTGCATTTCTCTTGTGGTCAAAGGTGTTAAACATTTTTTCATATATTTATTGACCATTTGTACTTCTTCTGAGAAGTGTCTATTCATTTCACTAGCCCATTTTTTGAATGGGTCTTTTATTTGCGGGGGGGGTGTGTGTCTAATTTTTCTGAGTTCTTTATATTCTTTTTATATTCCAGATATTAGTCCTCTGACCAAGGAGTATCTGGCAAAAATGTTCTCCCATTCTGTAGCTTGTCTCTTCACTCTGTTGGTTATTTCCTTTGCTGTACACAAGTTAATTTGATGTAATTTCATTTATTGGTTCTTGATGTTATTTTTTGTGCAACTGGGTTTTCTCTTCAGAAAGTTCTTGCCTATGTGTATGATTTCAAGAGTTTTACCTATTTTATTTTCCAGCAGATTGTTTCTTTTTTAATAATTAGATGTTTGGTGCATTTTGATTTTAGTTTAATAAATGGTGAGACATATATCTAGCTTTAGTCTTCTCCATTTGTGCTTCCCAGCACCATTTATTAAAAAGGCTACCCTTCCCCCAGTGTGTTTTTGGTCACTTTGTCAGAGATGAGGTTGCTATATGTGCCTGGGGTTATTTCTGCATCTTTATTCTGTTACCCTATCCACACATCTGCTTTTGTGCCAGTATAGCATGATTCTCTCTGCAGAACCACTGTTTTTGTCCAGAATGGGTAGCTAACAATTGCAAACAGTTCATTCAATTTAGGCCTACCCCCTCAAAAGTCTTAGTAGAGTCCTATGGACTGCAGCACCACAGTACTAGTTTTTGACCTCTAGAACAGAGCTTGAGAGAGAGCTCGAATTGGCATTTGAATCCCTGAAAGAAATAGTGTCCTTCCTGTTTGTGCAATGGGACAGAATAATATGTCCCTCTAGGACACTACTGCTTTTTTATGCTGGTCTCCATAGATAATGAATTTAATATTTCTGGCTTTGAAGTTTGTTTACATTTTTTTTTTATACCAGGAATTGAACTCAGGACCTCATGCTTGCCAGGCAGGTGCTTGCGCTGCTGAGCTATATTCCCAGCCTGTTTGTTTACATTCTGAGCAGCAGTTTGACCCTTCTCAGCTGCAGGCAGTCCTGGGCCTCCTTTCTCCCACTCTCCAAAATGGCAATCCCCACCCCCATCTTTCGTCTGAAAATTTGGACTCAGAGATGTTGGTTTCCTGTTTCCTGTGACTCTGGAGAACTCAAAGGTTTATCTGCAATCCTGGGTTTCTATTAGTTGAGCCACTTCTTGTGTGAAGACTTCACAGAACTTGACAAACATAAGTAACTGCCAGCAAGTGTTATGACCAATGAAGGAAAGGTTCCTCCTCCCTTTACCAACACCCAACAAGCCAAGAGCTGAATAGATCTGGTGTTCATGCAGCACAGCACACAACTCTTCAATGAACACTTGATTTGCTTTCTTTCACTGAATTCTCACAATAACTGTGTGTGGACAAGTGCCTGGTAGAGGCTTCAGTAGTTTGTGTGCACATACAAGAGTTTTCCGGCAGTCTAGGGCAGGCATTTTGTCAGAAGGGATGGCCGGGAGTTTGCCAGGATGAACTTGACATTGTGAGATAGACACTGACCTGGTTGGGAAGGTGCTCGTACTGGAGAGGAGGAGCATAGCAGAGCCAGGGTGTTTGGAGCACCATTCATAAATCTACTGCTATCTTTCTGCCCACCTGGAGGACTGTCTGGTTTAAAGCTCTCTTTCTGAATGGGAAACTATTTGTCTTTCTGACTGGTAGTCCATATGTCTTTCCAGCTGGAGAACTTCTTGACTCATTGGTTGTTACCTGTGGGTGTGGCTGGCTGTTTTGTTTCTGGCTGGTGGTCTGCATGGTTGTCCCACCAGGGGTCTAAAGGCATTAAGCTAGGAATCACTATGCCTGTGGTCCATTTCCTACTGAGCTCATCAATCTGTCTGATGACTGGTTTGCTTGTCATTCTGAGGTCTGGTCCCTTTGCCTTGTCAGGTTAGAGCTCTGTATAGCTGGATCCAAATCTGTCTGTCAAGTGGCAGTCTGTGTATTGTCTGTCCAGCCAGGGGTGTGTGTGTGGGGGCAGCTAGGGATCAGTCTGATGGGGTCTTTCTGCCTGGCTGGGGTCTGTCTAGATATGATCTGCTTTGTTGGAGGTCAATCTGTCTGAACAGCTGGAGATGTGTACCCACTCATTAAGGAAGCTTGCCTGAGGGATGGATCACCTGACCAGCTGGAGTCCATCTTCTATGTGGCTGAGATTGTCTAGTTGGCAGCACCAGGAAGGGGGGCGGTTGTCTATTTATCCATCTAGGTTGAAGTCATCTGTCTCTGGCTAGGGATAGTAGTCTCCTGCCTGCACAGGGATCTATAGACCAAATGGGGCTCTATCTGAGGGACTTGGAATTTATCTATCTTCTAATAGAGTGTCTGTCTTCCTGAAGGATCTATTCAGCTGAAATGTCTGCTAGCTAGGGTGGGAGATGGTCTGGAGTGAAGGATATACCCAATTTGGGGTGCTTCTCTGAATGCCTATGTTATGGTTTGTGTCTAGATGTCCCCCAAAAGCATCATGCAGTCATCAGGTTTTTTCAGAGGTGACTGACTCTAGAGTTTGTGATTGATTCATGTTCCAATACTGGGATTATGGGTATGAGTGCTATATCCAGTGTAGGGCGGGTAGCCTGCATATAGAAAGAGACTTGTTCTCTCTCTCTTTTGCTGCTTTTGCTGTCTTCCGCCACATGAACTGTTGCCCCTCTACTGTGTGCAACCCTGGCCTGGACCCAGCTCATTATGGACTGAAATCTCCATAAACTGTGAGCCAAATAAACCTTTCTCCATTTAACTTTGGGTGTTGGGTATTTTGTCTCAGCAATGAGAAAAGTAACTAAGAGTTTGTCTGCCTGTGTTGCCAGTTGACTGGTTTGGTGGTTTACCCAGTTCTGTTTAAAAACTAGAAGCCTCAGAAGCCTCCCTCAGAAGCTACACTATTGTGTCTGTCAAAATCGAGGTTCTACATTGGTGGGTACTGTCTGTCTGTCTGGGAATCCATCTGTCTGGCTATCTGGCTGAGATGTTTATGTGGCCAAGGTTTTGTGTGTGTGCCAATAACCATCTGGCTGAGAGTCCATCTGGTAAGTTAGAAGGTTGGCTGGCTAGAAGGTCAGTCAGCCAATCAGTCTGCTGACTGGGAGAACTTGGTGTCATCTGTCCATCTGGGATCTGTAGGGGGTCTGTATTTTGGGCCATGTCTGTTTGGTAGTCTCTCTGGGTAGTACAGGTCTGTCAGGCTACTTGTTGTCGATCTCTCTGGGTGGGGTCCATATGTCCAGCTATGGACTTTGGTTGGGCTCTGTCTGTCCATGCTGGTGATCCATCTGTTTTTCTGCCTAACTGGGGATATTTTCATCCCATCTATGTGGGGTCAGTCTGTGGCTAGGCTTGGTGTGGATCTGTCTGGATGGCTTGAGGTCTACTTACCTTTATCAGAGTCCATCCATCTCTGTGTGGTCACAAGAGTGTCTGAGCAAGGGAGCTCAGATATTGAAGAACTGCATTATTTGATGAGGGGTGTAGTCAGCCCTTAAACAATGTGGGGTATGAGCAATGCCCATTCCTATACCAGCCTTATCTCCCACTTTTCTCCTCCAACCCTCAATCTTTTTTTGTAATAAATAATCACATATTGAACATCTATATATTCACCTTTTCAACTCCACAATGACCATATTCTTTTGTAAAGGCTGGTGCATAGCCCATGTAAAGACAAACTATTTTCTAGTTTTTACTAATGTAATTATGCTTCTTTCAATTTTTTGCCTGTGACATAGTGATCGCTGATCATTCCTGTACAGACACTGCTGTGTACATGTACAAATAGATCCAGAGTATAAATTCTTGGAGTTGATAGCTACTAAGTCAAATGATGTACACATTCCAGAAGTTGATGCATATTGCCACATGGCTTACCAAAGTGATTACAATTCAGAGGGCAGAAAAATCCTTGTTTCACCTCACATTTGTCAACATTGGATATCACCAAACATTTTAAATAGTTTACAGTTTGACAGACAAAAATTCTATCTTAGTCTGCTTTGGTTGCCACAACAATCTACCATACACTGTGTAGTGTAAATAACAGAAATTTATTTTCTCATAATTCTCATAATTTATTTTCTCCTAAGCCAAGATCATGGTGCCAGCATGTCAGGTTCTAGCGAGAACCTCTGATTGGTTTGTTACAGTGCTACCTAGATGGATGCTCTCGTGGCAGGAAAAGAAAGGAGAAGCAGGCTTTCTGATCTGATATTGCTTCTTAGAAGGGTACTAATCTCATCATGGGCCCCCACCCTTATGAGCTCATCTAAATATAATTGCCTCCCAAAGTCACTTAGTCCAAATAGTATCACACTGGGGGTTACAGATTCAATGTATGCATTTGCAGCTCCCCCCCCACTGCAGTAATCAATGAGGCAAAGCCTTCACATGTCCCACCCTGAGAATCTTGTTTTGATCCAGCATTCTCATTCTTAACACATCAAAAGGCAGAGCTGTGACTGGTAGCAAAGTACTCTTTTGGAGCAAGAGGCAGGCACAGGAGCAGCACTCACACCTGGGTCCACTCTGCAGGGGGCTCTCGGGGTCCCTTCGGCCTTCTGATGCGCAGGTTGAAGCCTGAGAGAGGAAGGTTGCTGGGGTCTCATGAAGTAGCTGAAGCTTAAAGAGGTAGGAACCTTGCAGGCCCTCCTAGTTTACTACGGTGACAGCCACAGGTCTCTGACAGCCTGTGGCCCACGCCCCTGCCATAATTCTCAAACTCCTGGGGTTCACTCAAAACTGCAGAGCATGGTGCCTCAGGTTCTGTCTGACTTACCTAGCCCACCAGTCTGAGCTCCATCTGCCACATCCTCATAAGCATCAGGTCCAGCAGGGCTTTGGTCAGCAGGACCTGTGGGCAGGAGACACAGGCGCAGGCCCAACTCAGGCAGTCCCAGAGGGTCCTGACTACCTCACACAGGAAAAAAGGAAGCCTCGAGGAGCAGCGCCCACAGGGAGACTGTGCCATGGTCGTGGCCAGGTTGGGGACAACCACCTTTGGGGCATGGGGTAGACAAACACGTTGGCATCACCAGAGGCAGAACTGGGACTGAGATTTCAAACCGGTATCTGGTCTTGGGATGCTTCAGAGTGAATGAGGTCCTACACAAGTTTGGTGTAGCCAGGGAGCCAGACGGCCTCCTTTCAGGGTGTGGCCAGGCCAATGTAGGGGGCTTGGGTCCCGGTGGCTGCTAGTGCCCTTGGGGGCCCGGCACGTTGGTCAGAGGGAGACCAGAGCTGCCCACGCCTCCCCCAGCTCCACCCATGGCCAGCCAGACTCTACTCACAGCTGCTGGGCAGCGTCCCCTGTGCCTCCTCTGTGTGTACCCCCGGCCGCTGCGCCCGCGGTGTCACCTGGCTATAGAGCGGCGTTTCGGCCGTGCTGCCCTCCCGTCGCTCCAGGTCGGCGCCGCGGGCACAGCGCTTCTGCACCACTGCGTAGGCGTCGGCCATAGCCAGGGTCTGCGTAGCCGGCAACGAGCTGCTCCTGCGGGTTGAGAGGAGAGGAAGTGAAACCCTGGCGGAGGAAGCTAGGAGGGTGGGGCAAGGGCTCAGCCTACCGCAGGGTTCCTTCTGCCCCACAGCCAGAAAGGAGGGAAGGGGTGGGCGGCTCTCAGCAGAAGCAAGGCTTTCTGTAGAAGAGTCTGGCTTCAGTGTCCAACTAGCATGCCAAAGTTAAGTGAGCCCAGGGCCAGCCTGGCAGGTAGGTATGTGGGACAGAGTACTGCAATTGATGGGTGATAATTTCTGTGCAAATGTGAATAAAAGAATGAAGAAGTGGCATTTAGGGGAGGAGGGAAAACTAGCTTCAAGGATGAGGGGTGAAGATGCTGCAAAGGACGGACAGCTGTGTTTGAAGCATGTGACATGAGCCCTGACCATGAACAGCATATAGTTGCCAAATTCAGCACTGACCAGCGGAGCAAGGGAGAGGCGGACCTGAGTGTAGGGCTAGCTTAGAGGTAGAGGCAGTGGGACCCTTGGGATCAAAGAGTACTGTGAGGAAGTTTCCCAGAGCTCCTTCAAAAACAGGCTAACAGTATCCAGTGAACTGAAGGACAGGGTGGGGCTAGTTTGCGAATCTGAGAAACTGAAAGGTAAGTGAGAGGGTTTGGTGCCAGTACCTGAGGACCCTGCCAGGTGGGCAGGGGCTGGCAGGAAGGGCTGGGGAAGTCTGGAGGGAGAGGGCATCATCATAGAGTGGAGCACAATTCTGGGGGAAAACAAGGAGAGGGTCATGAGACTTAGGAAGAAACCGGCTGGGCTCATCTTGGAGTTCCCGGGGTAGGAGTGGGACTCTCAAGGTGAGCATAGGAGAGGCAGCCTGCCGAAGGAGCCCAGAATGGTGGCTGGCACAGGAAGGGAGTCAGCACCTGCTCTCAGGAATGCAGGGCCTTGGGGCTCTCAACAGTAGGCAGGAAGAGGGTGGGCAGTAGCCTCTGTACCTCCTTGACGTTCTGGTACTGGGGGCTGGTTTTCTGGAGTGCTGAGTAGAACATCTGAGCCACTGTGTGGTGCAGGAACCTGTACTGCTCCTGTTGGTGTGAGAGGTCATCAAGAAGGGAAGACAAGGGGAGGAAGGACCGAAACTTGTGTCCTTGTAAATGAGGAGACCAAGGCCCACACCTCTGTCTGCACAACTGAAGGCCGCTGCTTCCGCATCTCAAGGACCACATCAAAAAGGCTGAAGTTGGGTAGGATCATCTGGGGCAGAAAGACCAGTGTGTAAATAGGACCACATGGGCATGGGGTGCATTGCACAGCACAGGTGCCCTCATCATACCTGGGTCAGGAGCAACTGCCTCACATAATCAATAATGCACAGGACACCTGTTCGCCCGCAGCCAGCACTGACAAGTAAGAATCAGAACAAGTTCAGTCAGGGCCTGCTCACAACCCCTTGTAAATGGGGATATTTGGAGTTGTAATGAGGGACCTCTTAATCTGCAGAATCCTCAGATTATAATTTTAAAGTAGAAATGTTTTAATCACATATTTGTTGAGCACCAGCTATGTGCTTACTTCCTAGCAGGAAGTACAAATGCTAATCACCAAATGCTAATAATGTCATTCCATGTAGCATGACCAAGTATGACCTCAGAGTTCTCAAAATAGGTTACTCAGGTCAGCAAGACTGGTTATTAGGTAAGACTGGCAACAAGCTTTTCTCTCCACCCCATTTCTGCTTCACCAGAGCCTCATAAAGCATATTCCCTAACCTGCAGTGGACACATAGGGGTCTGGGACTAGATCCTTGGAGGCGTCGGGCTTCCTCTATCAATGTGAGTATGGTGTCAGGATTGCTGGGGACCCCACGGTCTGGCCAGGACATATACTGCAGCTGGTGCACAGAACGGAATTCCTGAGACAGAGGACCAAAGAGAAGAGGATAAAAAAAACATTTACTGAGTGTTTGATACATGCAAAGCCCAGTGCTAAGCACCTTCCATTTAAGTCTGCCAGAAGTGGCTGGGGAGTAGTTGAGCAATAAAACACTCGCCTTGGATGTTCAAGGCCTTGGTTTTATGCCCAGCACCACAAAGAAAACACTCCATTAGATAATAATCGAAAAAGTGGGTACTATTGTGAATGTTTATTCTGCAGAGCAGGAAAGAGCTTTGCCCATGCAAGAACCCCTTACCTTCTCCCCTTTTAGTACCTTCTGGAATATGACTGTGAGGACCCTCAGGATGATGTCTGCATTCAGTGTTGTTTCCTTTGCCTGAGTTTGTGGGCAAGTGGGAAGAAGAAGAAAAAGAAATAGAACAAATATGTCAAAGACATTAATAAAAAACAAAGCATTCTTTATTTAAAAATACAAATAAACGTAAAACTCATTTAGCTCAAACATCCTCCAAAGGTTTCATGAAGGAAACATTTGAGAGAATGTACAAATGCTAATCAACAAGCCCACTTACAGTGAGAAAAGAAATATCTTTTCTTCTATAACGCAAGTTTCATTATGTTTATTAAGTGCTAACTGATGAGTGAGGAGAAATTTCCCCACATTCCTCTGAAATGCTAAAAGTAATAAGGGTTTCAAGAACCCCAACAGGTACTTTTACATTATAGAAATAACTGTGAATGAAGCCAAAATAAAAATGCTGAGGTCTGGGGATGTAGGTCAGTGGTAGAGCACTTGCCTAGAAAGAACAAGGCCCTGGATTCCATCCCAAGTACCAGAAAAAGAAACAAGCAAATATGCTAAGGCAATGCATATATGGAGTTCTGACTATTTGCTGGCTAACATTAGTGCATTCTCTGAGTTTCCCACAGCATGAGGGAACTATGAGAAAGGATTTATCCCTTCTGTTCCAGTCCAAAGACTTCTCACCCTGCAAACCTTTCCTTAAACCTTCCATAACACCCACGTCCTGTAGAAACCTGTTCCCAGCTCTGCTGCAGCTCACCAGAGTGATGCAGAAAGGCCCAATCTGTAGTAGCTCTTGTTCCTGGGGCCAGTAACGTTCACACTTTTTCTGCAAAAGGTAAGAAAGGAAGGGCAGGGAATAAGGAAAGGGAGAAACTTCAGAGTTCCAGCCCTTACAACATATCCAGGTGTTGCTGGTGGAGGTACAGGCAGCTGTGAGTGTCTCAGAGGCCTGCCACATCATATCTCATTAAACACATATAGCCTCCGTAGAGGCAAGCTAAGGATCATGTCCTTATGGAACACAGTCCAGAATATCCACTTCAAACAGCAAAACAAACAAACAAAAAACTGGACAAAATGCATGAGCCACTATTTCCCACCAATGGCTGTCAGTGTTAAAGAACACCTGCAGGTGTCACCAAGCTGGAGGACAGGAGACCCCAAAGACCCACTAAATTGAAAAGCCAGAGATTATTGCTCAGGGAGGCCAATGCAGCTAGCATTTGTAGGACAGAAGCTTGTGAGGAAAGCTATGTTAACAAGAGCAGAAAAAAAATTTTAAAGAAACCTTGATGAGGTCCACCCCTCCAGTCTTTGGCTGAATAATAATCTGAGTACATGCAGACAGCCAGGAAAGAGTAACCTCTCATGAAAGAATATAACTAAGAATCTGTAGGATCAACATTTCCTAGAGTTCACAGTGGAACAGAAATAATTTATATTCCCTCCAATTAAAATGGAGTTAAAATTATTGATTCTGAGGCACATTTAGTAGCCACTTTAGTAATCAAACATTAGAATTAGACCTAAATTAATCCTAGAATAAAGACTTCTCTAGACATGCCCTTACAAATCTTCAAACAAGAGACAGGAGATCCTGACCCAGAAAGCCCACGAACTGCTAACACTGGGGTTCGCATCTGGGCCCTCCCTGCGCATGCCCTACACCGCCTGAGGTACTAGAGCAGGCGGTCCAAGAACTGAAAAAATTTTAGCTGACTGTTCCTGAGACAAAGGTCTTCTATCTAAAACATATAAAGAATTAAAAAATATCAGCCCCCCCAAATTCAAAGACCCAATCCAAAAATGGACAGCTGAGATGAATACACACTTCTCAGATAAAGAAATACAAATGGCAAATAAATACATGAGAAAATGTTCAACATCATTAGTCATTTGAGAAATGCAAATTAAAACAACATTGAGATCCCACCTTACCCCAGCAAGAATGGCTAGTATTAAGAAATCAGCCAATAACAAATGCTGGCAAGGCTGTGGAGCAATAGGAACCCTTCTCCACTGCTGGTGGGAATGCAGACTGGTGAAACCAGTGTGGAAATCAGTTTGGAGATTCCCCAGAAAACTAGGTCTACAGGTCCCATTCAACTCAGCTATTCCCCTTCTGGGTATTTTCCCAGAAGATCTGAAAACATCACATCACAGCGATATATGTGCACCCATGTTCATAGCGGCACAATTTGTAATTGCTAAATTGTGGAAGCAACCTAAATGTCCATCCACTGAGGAATGGATAAAAATATTGTGGTACTTTTATATAATGGAGTATTACTCAGCTATAAAGAAAGGTAAACTCAAAGCTTTTACAGGTAAATGGTCACAACTAGAGATGCTACTCATAAGTGAAATAAACCAGACCTCCATGTGTAAGCAACATATTGTCTCACTAGTGTAAGAACCTGAAAGAGTGAATAAAAATTAGGAGGTATGATAGACATTGTGAAATGAAAGGAAAATGCTCAAAAGTAAAGAGCAACTGGGATGAGGGCAAAGGGAAGAGAAAGAAGGGGAAATTATGTATGTATGTGTATACAGGATAGCTAACATAGTTGTACTACTGACTTCTATCACTTTACTGAAAGGAACAGTTAATGATTACTTATTTGATCAATCTTGCATGTCTCTGTTTTCCTGAGAAACTACTTTGATGATATCAATATGTAATACAGTAGCCATTGTTAATTTCCTACCACTTTGTCTGTAATTCAGTATTGTTGTATTGTTCTTATGCTATTTTGTAGATGGATGTCTGTTTGTTAATATGTTTTTCTTCTTTAATTTTTAAAATAAATTTTAAAAAAACTGAAAAAAAAAACCAAAAAAACAAAAAAACCAAAAAACCCTCCCAAGGCTGGAGGCATACTTCATTGGCAGAGCATGCTATTAGCCTCATCAAAATGCCCCTGGCTTTTGTCCACAGCACCGAAAGAACAACAAACAAACCCCACCTCCCAAATGATCAAATATCAAAAAGAAACAAGTAAAACTTGTGGTGTACTACTGGGGATTGAACCCAGGGCCTCAAATATGCCAGGCATTTACTCTATTACTGAGCTACAACCTCAAACCGAAAATATTCTTCAAAGGAAGAGAACAGTGCCTGTCTGGCAAGTGCAAGTCCTGAGCTTGATTCCCAGTTTAAAAAAAAAAAAAGACACACACTAACCTGTGTGAAATTTAAAATATCAAGCATCCAATAAATATTTACTACAAATACAAAGAAGTAGGAAAATGTGACTCATAACCAGGAAAAAAGGCTCAGAAATGACAGAGATTAGGAAAGAAGCACAGTTCTTAAAATAGTTATTATAAATATATTCAAAAAAGAAAAAGAAAACATGAACATGGTGAAGAATGAAATGAAAGTACAAAAAAGACCACAGTGAAGCCTCTAAAGAGGAGAGATACAATATATGAAATGAAAAAAGTTACTAATAGCAGATTAGATATTAGAAGAAAAAAGTCAGCAAAAATATAGCAATAGAAAGAATAAAAACGGACTGGAAAAAATAACAGAATCAGTTTTGTGTGGAAATATAACATATGCTCTAATATACATATATGTATCTAGAAAAAGAACAGAGAGAGGACAGAAACTATATGTGAAGTAATAGCTGAAAATTTTCCTAATTTGATGAAACTATGAACTTACAGTGCCAAGAAAGATAATGAAAGACAGGGAAAATAAACATATAGCAAGCTACACTGACACAAATCATGACCAAAATGCTGAAAAACAACTATAAAGAAAGAAATCCTGAAAGAAAAGAAAAAGGCACTGACAACAGATAAGAATGGTAGCAGAATTTTTTTGGGAACTCTGCAAGCCATAAAACCAGTGGTACAACAACTTAAAAGTACAAAAAAAAAAAAAAAAAAAAAAAAAAAAAAAAAACCCTTTTAGAGATATAAAAGCCAAGTAAATTCAGTACAAGCAAATTTTCACTGTTAAAAAAAAAGAAATATGATATAAATGGAAACACAAAATAATAAAGAGAACAAAAAGGTAGATATGTGGCCAGATGTAAAGATATTTCTTTTATTTTACTATAGGTAGGAAATAATCTACTGTTTTATCAAAAAATTAAGGAATAATAAATGCAAGTCCTTCACATACTCTTGCAAAAATAATTGAGGAGTGAACATTACCCAGTATATATATATTGCATGAGGCCTAGTAATAGCATGATACCTAAACCAGGCCAGCATAAGACAAGAAAAGGAAACTACTAATGAATGTATCATGAACACAGACACAAAAGTTCTCAACAAAATGTCAGTGAAGTACTATTCACCAGAACCAAATGGGAGTAAACCCAGGAATGCAAAATTGGTTCAACCTATATAAACCATTGAATGTCATACATCATATTAATAGACTACAAAGCAAAACTACGATTATCTGAATAGGTGAAGAAAGAAAACTTTACAAAAACTAACACCCTTTCAGGATAACAATATGACAGGAACTAGGAATAGGAAGAATATTCTTCAACATAAGAACACATCTACAAAAATCTTACAGATAATACATGATAAAAGATAAAGCAAGTATTACAAGACAAGCAGTCTTCCTACTTCTCTTTAAGTGGAAGTTCTAGCTAGTATAGTTAGGAAAAGGGAACAGGGAGAAATTGGTGGGGTAGGGGAAGAAAGAGAAAGCACAAGAGAGGGAAGAGAAGAAGACAAGAAAGAGGAGGGGGAGAGGGAGAGGAAGAAAGTTGGGGTGGGGATGGTAGAGGGGGAGAGGGAGGATGAGTAGGAAGCAAGACTTGGAAAGTAAGAAACAAAATATTTTGATGTATTGTTGATATGATTTTATATATAGGAAACTGTAAAGAATGGAACACACTATTAAAGCTGCATGGCTGCAGATACAAGGTCAATGTGGAAAACAATTCTCTGTATATAGTGTAACTAGTTTGTAATAAATGAAGAAAACTTAAAATAACATTAAAAATATAAGGTACATAGAAATAAATTCAATAAATGTGCAAACATTTTTAGACTAAGCACTACAAAGCATTGCTTATGGAGGGTCTGGATAAATGGAAAGGTATTTATGTGGATGCATCAGAAGACAATATTGTTAAGATGGTAGTATCTTCCAAACTGTCCTACAAAGTCAAATGTCAATGGAATAAAATTGACAGTTCAGAAGTAAACCTTTGTACTTATAGTCCATTAACTTCCTATAAAGATGTCAAGGCCATTCAGTGGAGAAAGCATAGTTTTCAACAAATGTTGCTAAGTTCCAGGAAGATGGAAGTGTGGTGAAGAGCAAAGAAAGTCTTTCTTAGATTTGATGACCAGATGCTGGACTACAGCAATGTGAGGAGGAGAAGATGGAGGGAAATGGATTCCTGAGGACCAGTAAGGATCTGAAGTGAGAAGTGAAGCCCACTAGGAGAGTGGAAAAGGAGATGGCAATGCAGAAGGAGATGGCAAGCAGTGCTTTACTCTGAGCCCTGACTCACTTCATGGGAAGGGTGGCTCAAATCAGCAGACACAAGGTGACTACTGTGGACTCCAGAGACCTGCACAGAGAAACACACCAGTGGAACAGGGCAGTGAACACTGTGGACTGCAGGGGATGGTGTTATTCAGGTTCTGACACCCCCAGGAGGTGGGTATTAGCCAGTTACCATCTTGAAGAGGAGCCAACTAAGCTTGGAACTCAAAGTAGCTGTGGGCAGACTCTATGTAGCGGCTCTTAGCACCAGGGTTCAAGGTGGCAAGATGTCAAGGAGCTGAGTGCAATCTGCTAGGAGGCACACAGTGTGGGAGGCTAAAAGTATTGGGTTCTAG